GTGTTCCAGATGAAAATTGAAAAATATTTTGAAAGAGCTGTGTCCTCAGAATCTCATATTGCTCCGGATGTAATTCATTCCTAAAAGAGAATAGAAAAGAAAAAAATATTGGATAATGTATTTTTATGCGGTAGCATAATTAACTTTCAAGACATAATTTTTTGAGTGTCAAATAAAAACAGATTTAGATATAAAATAAAAATGAGTTTTCAAAAAGTAATTGTAAAAATGGTTTTATAAAAAGCCATGTTGTGAGCCACCTTGGTTGCCGTAGTTAACCAAACCTTGTCAAACACAAGAACTGGCTGGTTTTAAAGCTGCAGCACTGTTGTCAGAACTGTGCATGTATGTTCTAATATTCTATTAGCAATCTTTAGTTTTCTGGTTGATGTGTACCTACAAGAGATACTCACCAAGATTTGGATATCTTTATATGTATAGTACATGCACCAAAAAACTGAACTTCAGGAGGCTACAAAAAACAAGAAAAAATGATTACAAGTAGTATGTAACCCAAACGACAGAATAGGATGTCTGATACATTGTATCACATACAGGGCTACTCTTGATAACTATTTCACCTGCAGCAAAAATAAAACACAGAGTGAATAATAATACTTAAATTTGTACATTGAAACATCAAAGTCACATGATCAGATAACCACCAATCAAACTGACTTGCTGTATTAGAGATACAGAAACTAGAACTCAGACATAAGTGGTTGTCAAAATCTCTTTGATAGTGAGCCACATGATTTGTTTTTGCCCCTCAGTTACAACACTGCACGTGATCTAACTGTAACTTGTTTTCATGGGGCATTCTCTGAATGATTGACCCCCTTGTGTGGCAGTAATAGATAACGCCTGCCTGTCATCTAGATACAAAGTCAGTCTTAGAGACCTTGTCAGTCTGTGACTAACATAAATTTATAGACAATACCACATTTTAATTTACTCGACACAATGTCCTTGCTAGGGTTCAAACTCGCAATTCCGAGCTCAAAGGCAAAAATCTTATCATTTGATGGCATAAGTATTTATAAGATGATTATGCAATTAAACAACGTCCACCTGTGATATCTTTCAATATGTAAATGGTATGTAAATGACAATGGAAACAAAACTTTAGTACACATTTAATACTCGCACAGTCAGTTGAGCATGATTGGCCAGTACAAACCCTAGGTGTATTTGACATACTGAGAGTCAGGTAGTGCACTCCACTCATGAACTCACTCGCATATTTGACCTCCACTCAGTCTGCAGTCCTTGTGTCAGTCAAATACATGAATGAATGCACTTCACTTGTGCAATATCTTTTACATGATTTGTAGGCTCTCTCACTCTCTTGGTGGCCATTCATGTCTAAAGTCTACTACGAAAAGTAGAAAACAACACAATTTAAAAGACACAAAATTTTTGAATTTTTATTGGTTTGGCTTAGCCTAATAATTTCCTCTGCATGCTTAGACTTAGTTTTGATACAAATCATTCCATTTATGTGCAACTAATAGAACAAATATGATAGTTCCCCTTCAAGTAATGAAATTCAAACCTTAGAAGGTTCTAAAAGTATCCAGCAATACTGCCAAGCTTGGGGCGCCCTCTGTGCCAAGGTCAACCATTTCTGTGCTGTATCTTTGTTTGCAAGATTAGAATCAAAATACAGTTGATGTAGAGCCTGCAATGAATGGTGAAACACGGGTTATAAACATTAATTAAAATCCATCTTCCTTGAATTGATTAAATGAACAGCACTATTATAAAACACACTGTGTATATGTAGTGTTCATTCAAATCAGGGTTTTTTCTAGAAAAAAAATGCAAGAAGGAGCACTGCAATTCAGCGGTGCCACCAAGATAGGGTTCTTCCTACCAGGGTGTGGATTTTTTGATAATTCTGAGTTAAAATGGAGCATTCTATGGCTTCGTTGGGGCCAAAATTACTATCAGACAGGTCACAGTTGAAGACTGTGGCCACATGTGGTCCCTGGCCAATCAGAATTTTATGGTTGCCAGAGTATCTGCTCCCCAGAGTAAGGGGGCGCATGGCCATGGATGGCATGAGGGCACTGCGCCCCTGTTTAAAAAAATCCCTGCAAATATCATAAAGTAGCAAGTAATTAACATCTATAAACTATATCAAAACTTCATAGTGCATTGTGGGATAGTAAGGCTAAGTTGTATGAGCAGGTGCTCTTTGTGATTGACAGAGTGTGCTCAATCACAATTCGATTCGATCAAAACAAAACATCATTTTTCGCTATGATTTGAAATTGCAATATGGTCTACAGTTCTCAATCATATCTAGTATACATGTACACTGTGTCTAAAATCCACAAAAATATTATACTATACATTATATTATAAAATTTAAATTAATTAAATATACAAATGAGCTTGTTAATTAAGTTGAAACTCAATATTGCATAGCACATATCATATATTGACAGATCAAGTATTAAAGTCTATACCAACTTTTATCTCATTTAGACTATTAGTTCACAAGATATCAACAAAAATTCAAAATTCATTAAATATCTAAATGAGCTGGTTAATTGAATTGAAACTCAATATTGCATAGCGTATATCTTATAAATTGACAAATCAAGTCTATACCAAGTTTGGTCTAATTTGGACTATTAGTTCACAAGAAATTAACAAGAATTCAAAATTAATTAAATATTAATTAATTAGCTCATTAATTAAGTTTAAAGTCAATATTGCATAGCACACATCTTATATTGACAGATCAAGTGAGTCTATACCAAGTTTGGTCTCATTCGGACAATTAGTTCACAAGAAATTAAGAAAAAATCAAAATTAATTAAATATGCAAATGAGCTTGTTAATTGATTCCTTGAAAAAATAAATCAATGTGTATCTGTACCAGTGGTCACTCTGTCTTTGTATCAAGTCTCAGTAAAATCGGTATTGGCATCTCCGAGAAATGATGATGGACACCCAAAAAACTGGATTTTTCAGGATTTTGACATTCAAAATGGCTGCCAGGCAGCCATATTTGATCAAATCAGGAAATAAATCCCTCACTGTGTCTTTGTACCTAGTATCATTGAATTCAGTCAAGGCATCTTTGAGAAATATCAATAGACAAACAAAAGCCATGAATAACAATCAAAATGGCTGCCAGTTGGCCATACTTGATCATTTCAAAAAAGTAAAACAACGTGCATCTGTATGGGTGGTCTCTTTGTTTTTGTAACAAGTCTCAACAAAATCGGTCAAGCCATGTCCACGATGGACACACAAAGACCAAATTTGACTGAATGTTGGCATTAAAATGGCCTCCAGTCGGCTATATTTGATCGAATCAGAAAATAAATTGACGTGCACATGTATGGTTGACCACAACCGCGGTTTATAATAGGATTTTAACGGTATGTCCCTTGTACCAAGTTTTGTAAAATTGGTCCAGCTATCTTCGAGAAATCACTCCGACGGACTGACGACAGCGAAACTACAAGCTCAGAATTAATGTACTAACAGAAAGCCCACTGGCAATCTGGAGACTTATAACAGGATACATGTATAACACAAATTGTAGGAATAACAAAGAACTTGCAGCATGCCCTTGATATACATAGATAAATTCTTGACCAAGTAAGAAATTAGCGGGAAAGCCTCTAATTGGCTGAATATAAAAATTAAAACAATAATACACTGCGGTGGTTTCTACCATGTTCGCACTCATGCCATTGTCGTACTTCAGAATCCATATTTTGAAAATGATGCATGATAATTCAGAGTACTATTGAACTTGTATAAAACGAAATAAATAAAGCGATTAACAAATATTGCATGTTTCAATCACAATGCTTCACAGAAAAATGATTCAAAAATTACTCCAACAATTCTAATAAAATTATAATGATTTTACAGATCTTACAGATCCTCAAATCACACAGCTGAGAGTACTAGTACCCACAATGTACTCAAAGAGTGCTACTAGAGTGCAAGCAAATAAGGCACAATATAAACTGTTTAATTTTCACTGTTTGAAATTGTCATCATTTCAGGATTCCATTGCATTCATGAAGACAAAATAAAAGACACATCTGCAATATACATCTGTCATCGTAACGCCGTAAGTTACAGCGTGCCGTCATTTTATGGGGTATTTTCATCCTACCATATTAGGAAATAGAATTCCTAATTAGGCTCATAAGCATCCTCTAATAATAAAAAAACAAACATGGCTGCCATCAGGGTTTGACCGGACTCCACACAAAGAAGTCCGCTGATTCTGATCTAAACTTTTTGGAATTCGGCATTCCAATGATGTATCCTTGGAAGGAAAAGATGTATAATAATAAGGTTATTATGAGAATACCGGTACCTCAAAGTATGCATGAAGACAGTATGCAGTGCATCGATGCTCCAGCTGTACTGTCTTTGTGCATACTTTGAGGTATCCTCGTAATAACCTTATACATGTATTATACTATTTATACTAACTTATGAAATTCATGAAAACAATTGTCTCTCAAGTAATTGAAGTAGTTTACCATATAATTAGCTCTGTTACCGTACTCCTGTTCTATCTTCCTTATATATGGCCCACCTTCAAGTTCTGAGTATGGTCCTCCTTTTTCACAAGGTGATAGCACCAAAGTGGATACTGTGAAATACTTTATTTTCGCTTGGAATTAATTAATTTTCACAGAAGAAATGATTAAGTGAAAATAAAATCTAACGATTATACCTTTTTTTCTATATCTTACATTCAACTTGTCAAAAACCAGTGAAAATAAATACCATACAAAACATCCAAAGAGTGTTTTTAAATTAAATTAATTCCAGCTAAAATAAAGTACCGGTACTTTACATTATTCTCAAAGATGGACTAGAACAGGTGAGTAAAAGGCAAAAAAAAAATTTCAACAACATTGGGGAAAGTTGGTCAGCATGAGGATTTTAGTGTCTTTGAGAATAGCAGTATGTGATATGTGATAATATGAAAAAAAAAAAATATGAATATTACTACAGTGATTACAAGGTAAAAATTTTGTTTTCTCAGCACAACAATCTTTATAGATATTTATAAATTTCAATGGCAGTCACGCTTTTAACCAGCCACCTGTCTACCTGTCATTTTAGACAGGTAACCCACATTTAAGACAGACACAAAATGTTATTTGACAGGCGGAATGTTTACAAACCTGGCAACTTTTGATTGACAATTTCCAGATTTCAAAAAATAGCACTAAATAATCAACAAAAAAATAGACTACAAATACGTGGTGACAGACCAGCTACCGTACTATTATCTTACACTTAATTAAATATACTGGTAGATACTGGCACGCCTGGTCACCTGACATGGGGCTTTAGTCAGCAAAGAGTTGATTTCACAACATACAAATCATTTATTCATGAGATTTTCAGCTAATAATCTTGACGATTAAAATCATGGGATGGGAGCTGGTGGAAAAATTGAGCAAATTATTTTTTTCATTCACTTAGTTTTGAGCTATATAATTTTTTTTTTTTTTGCTTTTTTCTATCAAATATGTTCATATTTTTATATAAGAAATTAATATGGTTACATAAAATAGAAAAACATACACTAACAGAAATCACAACAATCATAATCCTACAAACCCCAGGATGAACAGAAGAGATGATTAAAAAACTTTTTTTGTTTTTGCTGATCAATCTTTTTTTTGCTTGTGTTTTGAACTATATATAGGCCACAGAAACAAAATTGTTTTGATTCAACGAAAGTTGTTGTGCACACTATGTGCAGTCATTGTCATCTGCTTCCCGACTTTCTACTAAACCAAAAACTGTTAATGGTAGTTCTGTCAGTCAACTGTGTGAATAGAAATGTCAATTCTCTTGTCTTTTTAGTGAAATTAGTTAATTTTTTTGAAATATCTGAAAATTCCAGTCGCTATTACATACCTTTAGTGATGTCGTAGATTAGATGTCTGTGTTTTTTGCGGTGTACTGTAAAATCTGTATTAGAAGCCGCAGCTTCTATTAAAATAGTACAATGCAACAGAGGGAATGCGGCTTCTATTAGAGCAACCACACATATGAGAAATGATGAATTTTTGGTTCTCAATTGTTCAAAAAGAATGGGTGCGACTTCTATTAGAGATGCGGCTTCTAATACAGATTTTACGGTACTAGTAAATGATCATGCTTTACAAGGGTTGTTTTTTCACCGTCAAATGTTTCATATTTTGCATATTATGCATATATTGACTTTTCAAATCTGTTGTTTTTATGTTTGCCAGTCGTCCATAATACACACTGTATGTGTCATTGGCAGTCATGTCATATTGTGTTCAGTTGCAATGATATGATTTGATAAGGCCACAGATGTGTTGTGGCATATAATTTGGTAACAAAGAATAAAAAAAAAGCTGTTCATCGTGGGGTCTGTAGTACCTTCCATGGTACACACTGTAAAAACAGTATAGTCCATGCAGCAGTGTACAAACAATAATGACAAAATGAAGAACTCAAAATAACACTGTAATAAGTAAAGAAAAGTAGTTTTTATTCTGTAATTTTTTTTCAAATTTTCTCTGTGAGATAGTGATGATGAGCCCCTAAAATCATCAGTTTGTCCCCAGGTTTTCATTTGATTGTTTAGTGGGTTATTAATGTACCGGGGTAATTAAATTACGTTTTTGAACGTTTTCCCAAAAAGTACACAGACGCTCGGAACTTTTCTTGGATAACAAAAAGGACTTAAAGCAGGGTCGGTATACTTAATCATTCGCCGGTACATTCGCCGACCACTCATGCAATAACACATATACCGACCATACATAAGTATACCGATTTTTTTTTTTATTATCCAAGAAACGTTCAGAGCGCCTGGGATACAGTACACTTCAATTCATGAATGACTTACCTTTTCGATGTTCTCAACAGTAATTTCAACAGTTGACACCGGCGACGAGACTTCTTCAGCCATGTCTGGTGCACAGGGGTGATTTGCCCGTATTCAACAATCACACTCTGCGCCGTCTTTGTGTTGAAACACAAGTTAATATGGCTGTGCAGTCTCCACCGGGAGTTGCAGACTGGCAGTCGGTGCAGTAAACAACAGGCTCACGATAAACGCATTGATGGTACGATGCTGTTTGATGTTTTCTTCAAAGTGACGTTACCAACTTGAAATACTATTGGCTCATGTAGATGTAACTGAATTAGTAGCTAAAATAAAATACTTGGCAGTATAAAAGTAAACACTTTGCTATTCAGCTTCGTTTTCACATGGAAGTCGCCATTTTACTATATCTTTTGTTCAACCGTGGTGGCGCACTGCCAGTTGCAACGAGCAGTCCACAAGCCGACAGTCGCACTCAGTAAGTTGTTGGCGGAAGTTTCAAGGCGGTCCAAGCAAAAGTAACAATACCGACACGAAACTTCTCAAATGAATAATGAAGATGGAGATAGATTTTATAAATTGTTGCCGGAATCCTTTTACTATAGCCATTTTCCGATACGATTGCTCAAAATCATAATAGTGTTCCCTTCAAGTTAATATTTAATGTTTACCGTCGGAAAATCCCCCAAAAATATATATATTTTTGAACATGTTTTATCCGAAAAATTGTGGTAACATTATTTCACGAAACTTTAATTCTATATAATAACTATTTTTTGACAATGAGTTGAAGATTTTAATTTTATCGTGATATTTAAGCCGAACTCCAAACAGTTCGATACACGTTATTTATCATGAATGCACAAAGCTGATTTGCATTCTATTCATTTGCATATTCATATATGCTCGAACTTTAAAATATACATGATTTGCGTCAGAAAAATGCTATCATTTCAAAGATGTATTGGATTATACAATAAATTACTAACTTTATAAATTGACTCGAAACTTTGTATTCCAATGGCTGTTCAGACACGGAGAATCAATCATTTCAAGCCAGAAGTATTGAAATATTCACCAGAAAACAAGATACAATGTAAATGGGGATGTTTAGAAATCCCTTTTAGTGAAATTAGTGTTTAATATTTTTTTTCTAACTACCTACGTAATAAGAACGTTGTTTCTTCTCAGTTTTAGTGTATAACGTACACCATTTCACTACAATAACAATAAAATTGTTCGTATTTATGTTTTTGCAAAAGTGAGACATTAATAAATAGTTCGGTTGACATATACATTTTTTCTCCCTTTTCTGTAGTACTGTTTGAGGTGAAACCACTGCAAAAAATTACCGTGCGTAGTGTGGTTATTCAAAATTCAAGGCTGCATATGATGACAGAGTTACTATTGCGTACAGCGCAAATATGGAAAGGAGATTGATTTAATGCAAATATATATACTCCATTTTACCAAAGAGAATTACAAAATATATTCGGGCCATTATAAATAATATCACAAACAATATTTTCCGAAATTTATTCGGACCGCGTTGAATGCATTTACAATACATTAATGACATTGACGGATATACTCAGTTAGTACTAGTATTACATTTGAAAATGTCAGATTTTTATTTAATATTTTTTAGAAACTAATCAACTGCATATTTTATTTGTTAATAGTACATTGTTCAATATAACCTTACTTTGGCATTCATATATATCGTTATTCGATTCATACTATGGTCACGTGATACGTCGAGTCACTTTCTTCGCATAGGATCGTGCGTCTACTACCACTGTGACCATTCGTTAGAAATTTATAACAAATGACGACACATACATTTAATGTACAAGAGATGTTCATCTCAACAGTGGGAACAGACGCGGCACTACTAACATTGACTAAGACCGTGTGACAGTGTGTATGAATTTTTAGTGAATCTGAACTTCTGAAATCTGAATCTGAAATATTTATTTTATTTTATTTTATTTTATTTTATTTTTTATTTTATTTTATTTTATTTTATTTTATTTTATTTTATTTTATTTTATTTTATTTTATTTTATTTTATTTTATTTTATTTTATTTTATTATTATATATTGTGCATGTATATTCGATTACATGTGTTTCAATAATACTGAAAATACGAGATAGCAAGAATAATTTCCCATAATGCATTGGTGACTTACGGGTGGATACCACACGCGGGGCGTGTTTGCATACGTAATGAAATCGAGGTCGATTGAAAATCGGTGTTACGTACCAAATGGGTGACAGCGCCACGGACCAAAAAGTGAGAAATCCTCTTTATATGATAAAAGCACAGCGTGTGAAGGTATATGCTCCATGGCCTCCCAGTATGGCAAGACGAAACAAACGCTACGCGAAGTACCTAATGCTTTTGATGTGGATTGGCATATGTCTATCCCTGCTCATATTATTTTCAGCACGGCACACCGGTATAGGTGGGTTATTTTAGTTTTTGTTTCACAAATTCTACTGCATTTGTACGGGTAGCTGGATACTATACTTATAGCACAGCATGGCTGAATTTCCACGATCTGCCACACACACACCAATATTGAATTTATTTCTGTGAGTTTACTACTGCTGCACTGTGTCTGTTTTATGGAGTACATTACCATATGGTTGCATGTGCATAATTTTAACATTAATCATGCGTTGTATCATGATTACATGCAGCTTACATATGTTGACTAAAAGAATATGTCCGGTGGGATGTTTACCGATTCGTCGTCACCATCATTTTCATCTTCATCATCATGAGACATGTTCACATTTTGTACTATAACATAGGTAGCCTAACGTGTTTTGGGGTCAATACCGGCAGTGTATCGGCCCATCCGCCTTCGCCATGATCGAACCGATGGGAACGCATATTTAATATTCTGGCAACATCATTTATCATAATATAATAATTAACTGTGGTCATTACAATATTATTATTTATCCTCATTGACTCAATAACCCCATTTATAATAAAACTCTGGTATACTGTTGGCCGGAGCTGTCGCATGCATTACACAATGGCACACGTATTGTCGATGTACAAGCTGCATAAACTATATCGGATATGCCCGTATTAATAGTACGCCACTTCAGTAATAATAGTTTTACAGAAAAGACATTGTACTTTTATACTAATTTAAAGTCTATTACTGTTTTACTATTGAACAAAGCGATGTTTTTCTATATTTGGCTGGTAGTGATGAATTGATGACTGTTGCATCGCCGTCAGACGCACTTGTGTTATGTAGTTTGGCTTGATTCTATTATAATACACAGGCTATGAAATATTAAACGTGTTTCTTTGAGCAAATAAATATTGTTATGTTATCAGCAGATTATCAAATGTGCGCCACCAACCACGTGGCATCATGATGTGGAGAGATGTACTAGTGTATAGTCGCTGATAAATAATACGGAGTTCAATTACATAAATAACGCTGTAATTGTTTCCTTTGAGATTGTTATAATAGGGCTGTCTGACCTGTAAGCTTCACTGTACATTTATATGTGATATGCTGGGTGTCAACATCGTACATACAGTATATTGTTACTGTATGTTTGTACTCAGGGTTTGTATCATTTTTGTGCTCGTATTTTCAGTGCAAATTCCGGTTTTATTCATATTATTTCTAAAAGTCTATCACCGTGCGCGTTTAATCAGAGAGAACTCATACTATAGGCGCGTATTCGAGATATTCAGCGAAATGTTGGCGGTAAATCCCAGAAAATCCTCGCTCCTCAGCGTAGAGTGAACTCATGAATACAACATGTGTTACTACGACAACACACTGGCCGATGTGCCACTACTTTCCGATGATCCGGCCGAATTAGAAGTAAGCCGTAGTCGATAGATTATTCATAACACCCATGGGATTATGACTGACTTTAAAATGTCAGTGGGGTTCGCATCGTCAAGCCCCTGTGGTTCGCATAAGTCATTTCTCAGACATGGCTGAACCGATTTTGTTCAAAGTTGATACTAAGACAAGGCTAAGTGTGAGACATCTGCGAGTTCATACCATTTCGATTCGGTATTAATTGAATTAAATAAGCCCGACACGAGTTCATTCACTCATATTGACTTACGTTGTTTTTGTTATGATTCAAAATGGCCGATTGACATTTGTTAGCCCATAATGGCCATGGTCGTTAATATTTCAATGCAGAGGCAGACAATAACAAAAAAAGGCAAGTCGATTGACGATTTCAATTGACGGGGAGCATGCCATTCATAGAGTTGAATTAAAATGTATGCCTTCAATACATGATCACATGCAGGATCATGAAAGCAGGCTTTCAGGACGTCAAGACATAATTTCCTACATCACCAAACATTCCATAACCATTTCATAATATCATAAACAAACACGGATGAAATAAAAAATGTGCTACTACTCCAAAAACTAAATATGTGAGAGATGTCTCGTATTAGCACAGATAGTGGGTTTGAGCGAGAAGACAAATTGGGATGGTGAATGTAAAATATGGTTAAGTGCTGTCGTTTTTTGCTGTTACATGTATACGAATACAGAATGTGTAGAAATTGATGATAATATTGTCACGTTTCACCGTCAGTTCAATTGTCTCAATTCTATTTTTTCTTTAAATTAAGAAACACAAATATTACAAGACGACGGCGCTATTAAGGACACGCCTTTGGATGGTGAAGGTGAGATAGGTCACACACTTGCAGCATAGTACTTTGAGTGGTAGCATGAATGGGGGGGGGGTTATACTTTTTTTGTGTATTTACGTGATTCAATAATGGGTATATATAATTAGAAATTGTAACTTCGAGTCAATACACATGAGATGAAAGCCTCGTGAACTCGCCAGACAAACTCATATTTAAAGAAATACACACAATGAATATGCGACCTTGCAATTATGATATTTTCTGCATGTGAATTTGTTGTTTAAGTGGTTTTGCACGTTTCTTCTGTTATTTTAATTTGCACAATCGTTGTATAGCTATGATGGTTGCATACTCTCACTTATTCCCATAAGTGTTGATACTAAATGATAGCTGCCACGCACAAAACGAGGATTTCACAACAGTGGCTCATTGTCGTTTGTACTTATTTCAATTTCATTCTCTTTTATAAAATAAAGACAACAAACACATACCCCAAGATGACGATCTTAAGGCTGAGCCTTTGGAGGGTGAAGGTGAGATAGGTCACGTAATTTTCACAATTTTGTTTACGTATACATGTATATAGTATAAGCACCGTATAAAGCCAAAATGCACTGACTGACCGATCGTCGGCTGATTGAGTGATTGAGTGATTGATTGATTGATTGATTGATTGAGTGAGTAAGTGAGTGAGTGAGTGAGTATTCATATCACGCTACCAAAATTTATAAAATCAGGCCACCATTCAGAACACCACATATAACTTGGCTTTAGGATTTCAATTTTGTGTAATCGCAATATTTTATTAAACTGTTTTTTTTTTTTTTTATAAATTTACGCTATTCATATATATATGCATCCAATAACTGAGTTTCCGTAACAAAGAGTTTTTAGCAAGATGGGGGTGTCAGCCTCATGCTCACCCCCCCAGCTTTAACCTGGAGGACGAGATGCCGTGCTTGGTCTGATTCTTACTGGTTAGACCTGTCGTATGCCCGCCAACATATACCTCGTTGGGTCATGGAGTTACACAAGCACAGCAAGGCTCCAGTGGATGCATTATCAGCGTGTTCCCGGGCGCTAAGATCACTATATATTTCTACAGCGTTTACAGTCGATTGTATTTTAGACTCCACAGTTTGGTGAATACAGTGTAATGTGTGAACACTTTCGATTATCATTAAATCGTGGTACAGATTCACAATTTTCTGTTTACACTGCTGAATTCTCACTTATTTTTTTACAAATATCCATATTTATGATCTGCCATTCATAGGCATTAGGATATCTATTTTATTTATTTTTTTGATTTGTAAGAAATAGCAACCATATTTTTACTAATGTTATATTTTCAGCTTGTTCAGGGAGTGATGTTTCACATATTTACACAGTGAGAATGCAATTTTACTTTATTCAATAAGTGTTGCATATTGCTAATATCGACACAGAATATACAAGTACGCCTGTAATAGTGTATAGAGTTGGGAACAGACACAAAAGATCAAGACTTCTAAATAGAATTACTTTTTGAATTATATTGCTGTGGTATTCTGTTTTCTATTACATTATGGTGTCACTATTTACCATTACCCTGGATTAACTGGCATCGTGATTTTTATAATGGTACATCTGTCACAGGGCGATATCAGCTGTTATGACGTGATATTTTATTCACTAGTTTTTTAATTTAACCATTTCACCAATAAGTAAAATTCGCCAAATTAAATATATTATGAAGATGTGAAATGACAATAGAACTCTTGTTCCTCTGTCAAATTCGTGACTTAAAATCCAATGAAATTGCTCAAAACATCAAAATTGTGAAATTAAATGCCAATAAAATTAATTACTATACAGTGTATGCAAACTGTAATCCAAATGTCGGCTACATCGCGAATGAGCATGTGTTCATTTCGTGTTGTGTCATACGTTAATAACAAACTTGAATCCATTCTCGATGTTTTCTTCTCCCCTTAATAAAAGTCTCCTCAATTTGATAAATTGAACTTTGATGTGTCTTGTCATGTCACTAGAGTTAAATGAACTGTGGTTGATCAGATAGTCATAATCCCTGGTATAATCCCGCGAATCAGAGTAATTACAGATTGTATTAACGAGGTCATACAACTTCGTATCAGCTGTGGTGCATACATAATAGAAGCAAAACCACTGAAACATGTCCATTTTCGGCTCGTACCAAATAACATTCGTCAGAACAAAGTAAATATATCGATTGGGTATATGTATTTCTTCAACAGTAACGTATATATTTTCTGAAAGCTCACATTATGGTGCCATGCATATATATATATATATAATCCAATTCATTGCAGTTCACGTTGATCACAGCAACACTCAATTTTAAGAAATTCTACGCGAAGCAATCTTAGTTTTGTCGTCATCTTGCTATATTTAACTGTACTTGGCCCAACAAGCTCGGTACATTTTATTATTGTAATACGTTAAAATAAAACGTGTTTATCCGGGCGAGAGGGATGGCATTGTATTGTTATTTGGGTACATAATAGTACACATGTACATGTACCACTTATCAACTGACTGTGGAGAAAATTGTATATATTTTAACGTGTTTCAATTAACTCAACGCTCTCTAACCATTATATTGCGCCATGCTGACGCATTGCTCAAAAAAGAACAGCAAAATTTGGTAAATGGAGATGCTGGGTGTCATTTCAAAATGGACCATTCCATTCACATTTATTATTATTCTGTGCATACTACTAATCCGTTCTATCTATCTGACATCTGACTTCAAGTCTTCGTTCATTGGTGGCTGACCAAATGACACCTGTATGAACAGATAAAACTAACGGTCATCTAATTGATCACGTGTCTTTCCAATACATTTTTTTTTCTCATACTCATGGTTTTCATTTTCGTTGCTAGGAGAACACGTGGCCGCATTAACACAGTGGGATGTATTTGAATCAGAATTCAAAGGTACGTACTCACGAGACAGAAACATTTATTCAGATGGAGAATTGGCCCGATTAATTTTCATCGATACCCATGTCAATGTTGAATTCCACCCAACCCCAGTCAGTCTCGTTTTCATTGAAACCTACCTAACGATGCTTAAAAACAAGCTCATGCAAGTCCTATGGAATAGCCAAAGTCATTTCCATGGAAACGTACCCATGATGCAAAGCAACGTACACTAACTTGTGTACGGATTATGTGACCCCCGGGGATCACGGCAGCCAGTTTTGTTTTCATATTGCGTTTTTCTTTTTCAAAATGTGTTACGTATTCCCCATTACTGGTGGTCAGTTTCTGAAAAAAAAACAAGGTACAATTATGAACTTTGAAGACGTCTGGAAACAAGGCTCTAGTTCCCCAATATTCAGATGGTTATGGGACAAGCCGGTATACCATATTTCTAAAATATTTGGGGACGCAATTTTTTTACGTTGATTCCCACTACCATCTCATCTAAACTGATTTAAAAAATATATATTTAGCAGACGCACAGACAATACTGCAAAGCATGAAAACATATCATTGAGGCTTCAGCTCATCCAATATTCAGATTCGTGTTTGGATAATATATATCAAATCAATCATTACAATAGCAAAAAGCACCAGCTGACTTCAATGCAAGTAGCATGTGCTGAATACGTGTAGCATTCATCTGTACCACTTTACTGTGTGATGTTACGTAGTACAGACACGAGATATAATAATATGATGTGATATAATTATTAAGTCTGTTCAACACTGAAATAATAATAATATATTATAAAAGATACAATGTCAGTCACTGTGAATTGTTACAGTCAATTTGTAAATGGGTATATCGACAGGTTTACCACTGTAATGGGATCTGATTAACGTTTGTTTTGTCAGTGTGCGCAAATTATGTTATTGACTCCAATCGAGCTCCTTCCAGGAAAATTAGAATGTTCTGCCCCTTAATTAGGTCGTAGAGTTATCAATGGTGTTCAAATATGATGTTAGTGTCGTGTTAGTAACGTGTTTATATTCATGCTAAAAATTACATGATACTATGCGCGTTATAGATTGTGATACAGTGTGTACTGCGCCCTCTTCGGTAGCATTATATGAAATACGAGATTCTCGATGGGGGCGCACTTGTTAACATCATTAATATAATTCATTGAGCGTTGTCCACCAAAGATGTCCAGGAGCGTAAGTATTGATGCAAATTATTTTACTTGCCCTATGGCCATCTCTGCCAAAATAATTTGTTTTGTTGAAAGTGGCTGGGGACATTAGTATAAAATGATTTGGTACATGTGAAAACTGGTCATTTCTGCCAAAAGAATTTGTTTTCTTGAAAGTGGCTGGGGACACTGCAGAATATTACCCCAATACCCCAATTTCTAGATAAAAATTGAATTTTCACTAAATCGATGAAGAAAACATTGCATTTGTGTACAGTGCGTTATGATTGAGTTCCCATTGAAATAAGATAAACTTATGTATTTCTTTATAGGTCGTCCCAGGTTGCCAAATGTTATTGACAATGACCTGGAAATCATGTCTCACACCAAAACACAGCTATTAGAATATTTCCCAGGGTCCAATGCGGATGGGTTGTACCTCACGTGGTCTCTTCATGTTAATACTAAAGGCGACTTGCTAAGGGCCATGGCGAGTAAGTATTCGAATATAATATATAACCAATATTTTACATTTGAAGTTATTTAGTACAAAATACTGGTAATGCATTGTGCGTAAATAATATGAAAAATATGTCGGAGTATAATAGCACTTCGTTGTCAAGGTATACTCGTTGTATTATGGTTACAGTGTTTAAAGGTTACATCTTGAGTAAGGGACGACGTCAACAGATCGATGTCGGATAAAAAACTTATTTTCTTTAGTTTGGGGTGGGAGGGGTTGATCTCAAAAAGTTGCCATCCTACAAAAACGATTCTATTTTTTTTAATGAAGTCAAAAATATCTTGGAGTATTTGTAGTTTTTTTTCTATCCAATTATGGACAAAAATAACAGAAAATGAAAAAAAAAACACATCCAAGACGAGAAAATGTTTTGGTCCGAGTGTAAATATGTACTCAAATGAGGTCAATTTCAGGGCATGGACCTAGAACCAACTGCTATGCCATACTACTGTCCGATTATCAATTTGTATTTAATGGTGAATGTAGTCTGATGCCATGATCAATATTTATCAATTAAGTTTCAGTGGGGAGGGGATAAAGGAATTAAGTTCTTTATCCTACATTGAACTTTTGATGTTGTCCCTAAGTAAGTATGAAGTCGGCAATTTAACAGTATGAAATAAACGATAATTTATTTCGCTTTCATTTATGGTGAAGCTTCACGGCCGTCGCGACGCATCGTACATCGGCCCCAATTCAACGCATGTGAACTACGCGGGATTCGAATACGCTCTGCGCGACGACTACGGGCGCTTTAGACAGGCGCAGCCTTGACAATTATATTATTTATATGTTACATGTAACTGCTTTGGAAAATGCATTTGTAAAACCTCTTGTTGCGTCGGACCAAAAATAAAAAGATAAAAAAAAAAACTCTAGGGCGCTTTAACTATTCAGATATTTGAAATCGCCCAGTATCTTTATTTAATGTATACCTAAGTAAACAGTTCCGACAGTTTTCGGACATCATAACCTACTTGGAAAATCCACATGGATTGGGTGGACAACATACAATTACCAGTACTGTGTTTTATTAGTCCCGCTGTTGATCAGAGCTTATCATATGAGCGATTGTCCGTCGTCGTCCATCGCCTGCGTCAACTTTTTTACTTTTTCGACTTCTTCTGGAAAACTACCAGACCGGTTGCTCTGATACGTGTATATGTACCTTGGGTAGACCTTATTCAGATTTATTCATTTTATGATGATATCTCCAATTCTCTAATTGAAATGAGCATTGCTAACAACGGAGCTATCCTAGCCGAGAGGCTGTATTGAAAAACTGTGAAACCAATATACGTGCTGCGCTTGTGTGTATTTATTGGCCTTGTTTCGAAACCAAAGTTGATCTCAAAACCAAAGTTAATTTCTCCAACTGAAATGTTAGTGCAGTAATGTGAGAAAAGTTGAGGGGCTCCTGGCATTATTGCAGACTTTAAAACAGCTGGTCCGGGCAGTGAAGTAACAAAATAGGTGTGCTTTAGGCCGTTGAGAGGTCAGTGTCAACTGATGGTGGAAATAAGAGAATTATATGCCGATGAAAAGAATTATGCTATTTTAAAATAAACTGAATCAGCCAATGTATAAGTAGATAACAAAATGGGACAGCGAAAGGTTGTTCCTGGATAAGCTCTCAATGTCCGTGGTGTTATCACTACTTAATGTAGTCATGTCTATATGTTTCTACTTGTTACAGATGACTTGTTGATGATTATATGCGGGGACGTCAAACTCAAGGGAAACTTGGGTGAGAAAGGAACCTATCCGATCATGGCCGAGCCCGTCGTCGCCGACAGCGACATCTCATTGGCTGAGTGGCTGGATAAAATATCAACATATACAAATAAAGCTATCAAACTTAATTTCTACGACACGGATTCGCTTCATCCAGCATTTGAAGTGCTCCAGACGCTGCAGTACCAGATACACGCCCCTCTAATCCTGCGAGCTGATATTTTAGTCGGACCAAACGGTGATACTAATAAAATGGTGAACGGAGTAAATTTCATCAGCGATGCCAATGGTCTATTTCCTAACTCTATTGTCTCGTTAGGCTGGAGAACTCATTGGACAACAGACTCAAAAGAGGTGCAATATACATGGGATATGGTAATCGACATGGCAAAGTACTGTACGAGATTACATCAACCAATCAGTTTCTCTGTTCGAGCCGTTTTCGCCCGGAAATCTATTCGTCAGTTGAAATGGTTGGTTAGTTTATCCAGTAAGTTCACCATCACTATATTTTCGCCTGATTATGATATCGTGTCGATGTCCGAGTTGTCCATCTTTCGCCGAAGCCTCCCAGTGCACCGAGTTCTTTACGACGTGCCCGTGTCCTTCATCGCTGCGCTAAGGGAAGTCCAGCCGAATACTCTGCAAACTCCGGGTGAAAAAATGGAGAGGAATTTATGGCATCCGCAACCGTTCGACACAAAATCGTTTGTCTTCCTTGGTGAAGATATCATCGCATTTACCGGTCCCAATAGTTGGCTAACTTCTAAAATGCAATACCGAGCTGAGCTCGAGACCGGAAAGCAAGTTGAAATCTCCGGCATTGTGCAATTCGCTATGGCTTCCGAACAAATAACCACCGACCAATCCAAACTTGACATTCACATCCGCAGTACAGGAGTTGATCCACCGGAGCCCGATTCAGTTCTCGGTGTGCGAATCGAAATAGTCAGCGACGGTACTCTGCGTGTTTCCTCGCACAATTTAGCAAAAGCCGGGACGTACAATCCACAGACTACGGCAACTATTCCATCTCACGAATGTTATTATTTTCACATTGTTGACGCCGGTGAGACAGCACCCATAACGGTAAATATCAAATGGGCGGACTGCGAAGCAGGAGTGACAACAACCGAGCACAATGTACAGCTATCGCTGACAGTGCCTTACGAAGCAACGCAGGAGGAGGAGTTTTATATCACAATCAATGGTAGTAATAATATTCATGGCGCGGCCACACTGTTAGAAAATCTGGTTGTTCGATAAACCTTTTGTAGAGACACATAACTGCTTAGTTTTTTAGGCACGTTTAGTGTAATCAAGACTAAGAGGTAGTTTTTGAGTTTTGATATACTGGGTTGTTATAATTGTGAAGAGAGCGCCCTCGTAAGCTGTGTCCGATTAAGGTGCGTCTTTGTTTTCATTCGTCTTAATTGAAGAATTTGCATAGTCGTATGTTTAGCTTTATATTACTGTAGTATTGATGCCTAAGCAGTGTTGGCGACGTGCCAAAATATTTATTTTCAAAAGACTATTACACGAGGGAAATAAATTTGTTTCCGCAATACCAATAATCGGCAAAATAAAGTGCGCCACATGCGACATGATTTGGAAATGTTCAACTTTATATTGACACCTTCTTGATAACTGTTAGACTGGCAAAGTCGGGACTTCTTTTTGTTTTACAAAAATAATTAATTGATTGTCATTGATTATTCATGAGTTGGTGTGTGAAAGTAAACGTGACCTTTTAAAGGTTGATTTGATTCGCGATCGATCGCAGAGGCTACTTTAACTTTCTAAGTGCTATAATTAAAGCTATGCCGCAGGACTAAAGGCGATACTTTCATCCATGTTTACTGAAAAAGTCGATTTAAATGTTCAATGTATATAAGTAGTCTTTCAAAATCACCGGGACCTCAGAAGTGAACGGTCACGTACATTAACATAGATAAGGTATGACGTATACAGCTGTACTCTGATTCGTTGTCAGTGCTAGTCAACAACTTTTAATTAGCATAATCACCGGAGTGATTTTCACTCCAACGTAGGGGGTCGCCTGAAGATGCGTCTCGACTTTGCCAGTCTAGGTAACTGTGAGTTCACAGTTGGTTTAAGACAACAATGTCAAAAATAACAAATAGAACGTTCAAATAGCTTGAACTTTTTACATTTTCTTTCACATCTTTTTTTCTATCATTATTATACTGATTTGCTTGTTCAGATATTCTTGCTCTCTGTAATTGCATCCTCTATAAGAACTTCAATATTTTAATGAACATTTGTAAATTTATTGAGCTGGATCACAGGTCTTCCAACAAGATTTTTTAAGGGTTATTCAGATATAGATTAGGTTTGTAGTATTTTTGGCTAATCAGTATAAATTATTTTTTTTTGTCATGCATGATGTTCGTCTGCCATAATATAACATACATTTCACAAACAACATTTCTCTTAATGCTGGTTCACATCGTCAGATATATCTGACCAAACAGCCATTGATTTGTTTCATTGGAAAGCAGGTTTTTACACAATCAGATTAATCTGATGAAATTGAATTGAAATTTGATTTTTTAAAAATTGAATGAGACATTAGATTTTGAGGTTTACTCTACTTGTTCAGATTAATCTGATACTGTAAACCAGTTTTCACGTAGCAGGAATACATTGGTATAAATTGGAAGTGAGAACCAAAATCTTTGTTGCTGACAACAATCTATGTTTCAATGTATGTATACATGTATATACACAAGGTTTAATGTGCGGTGGTCAAGTGCATTTTTCTATAAAAAAACAACAATTTATTTACCTTTCAAAACTGCATGAAAAAGTTTTATGTTGCATAAAAAATGGGTAAATCGACCTACATGCAAATCAAAGACACCACTGTGATAATTCTTTGAATGTCTTAATTTTCTACATTGTAATTTGACCCAAGTTGTGTGTAAGATAACAAGCATCTTATTTGTTGTGTTTTGTCTTCATATCATGTATGTAACTTATCTCTTGAATTAAAAAAAATGCATTTGAGCCTCATACTTATTCGTTGCCTTGCGTAGTATGGATTTGAAATTTAACGCACATGGTCATGATGACCACCACCATTGTTTGAAGCTAAGGCACAACAATAATAATGTGAATGAGTTTCTTTAGTCAGGAAAAATACCGTTTTGGTTTTATCAATTTAGGTGACTGCAAAACTCAACAAACTAGGAATCGGTTGGTAGAGTAAAAGATTAGTATTTCCCACAAAATTATTTACTGGTAGCAGTATATGGCATCATCATACTTTTCCACTTCTAAACAACAAAAATCAAAAGGACATAAATCAATGTATGCCATTCAACGTAAGAACAAATCAACTTTATTATTTAATTAACAATTTTAAGGAACAGATTTATTAAGACAATTTATTGAAGATTATTAATAATTTAATACAATGTATGAAAGTTTAAAAGTGAACACCAATATTGTCTTTTGTAATTAATAATTTTTCAACATTGCAAATGATGAATGTTAAATAAATGTTTTAGTAATAAGCAACAGCCCAGTGTTTTAGAAATTTTTTAAATTGTACAACATTTGAAGTGTCAAAAACTGCAACATCCGGTAAGATAATTTGAATTGAACACTCAAAATGATGCCATATCTAGTCAAACATGCGTCTTATTTGGCCACTTGTCTTTTGTGACCAGTTTCAGCTTTTTGTACAAATAATATGTCAAATGTATGAGTTGGCAACCAATAAAAACAATAATCCAACCATTATATGGAGACAAATTTAATGGGTGGTCACTATACACAGGTATAACATTTTCTGCTGCAACTTCATAGTTCGGTAACATCACTTTATATATGATAGTAAAACAAATTAAACCAGGAATTATATTTTCTAGTTTTTTTGTCTTTTGTCTTTTCTAGTATTTTGCAAACATTTATAAATATTACTCCCATTAGGCAACTGTTAGAAAAAATAATAGTTGCAGAGCCACTTTGATACAATATGTGTAAGTAACTTATTTAAACTTAAACACTTCTGTTAAAAATAAAATAGTAACGCACATTGGTATATTTCCACTTCAAGAGAGAAATAAACAATCACAAAATTTGTCAAGATTTATGTAGGAAATTGAAAAGTACTGTAATACTGTAGAATACTATTTTCGCTGAATGGATGCTTCAGTGAAAATAAAATCCAGCGAATATACTTTTTTCCTATGTCTCACATTCAACTCATCAAAAATCAGTGAAAATAAATTCCATCCACAACACCCAAAAAGCTTTTTTAGCAAAAATTAATTCTAGCTAAAATAAAGTATTTCACAGTACAAAATGTATGTTCTTCGGACTATTTGATATGGGTCAATCACAAAATTTGTTTAAGATTTATGTAGGAAATTGAAAAGTACTGTAATATGTTCTTCTGACTATTTGATATGGGTCAATCATACAATACATGTAAAATACAACGATTGTTTCTACAAAATTAGAACATACATGTAGTGACTATATTAGACAGTTAATTCTATGTTAGATAATAAGCAAGCCCAAGTGAGCTCACTAAATTTAAACTTATTATTGACCCCACATCTATTCTAAATATGGTGATGTGGGTTGTTCATTATTGTTATTACCATATAAGTATGCATTATTTTTTTTTACATTCTGATTACTGAATTTGTGGGTGAACAGATGAGAATGCCTGGCCCCTTGACATATATATATATATATATATATATATATATATAAAGTTCTGTATTATTTGATTGGTTTTCATGGAGGTCCTCTATACTATTTTTTTTAATACTAGATTTTTAACAAGAAATTTTCACAATTCAATGATTTTATGGCATTTGTGTTTTTACTGCTACAAAGTTTTATTGACTCACAGAAATTGCAAAAATTTCTCTTTGTTTACAGTCATCACACTAGTTATTCAATTCAATGACAAAGTCAATGTGTGTCCTGTCATAACTTTGAATCCTGTGACTGATTTTCACCAAAGCAAACATGCACATCAATTTTGTTTTTGAATTTGTGCATGTTAAGCATGGCATTTTCACTCTATTTCACACCAAAAAATTACATATTTTGACCCCTAAAGACACTATGTATCTATGTAATACATAGTACATTACATGTGCACAAAATTTGAATAAAATTGGTATATGCATGGCTGAGGACGAGTAGACGCATGTATATTAAAACTCATTATTCAGCCACAATGATTTGCATATAATCATTTGTTAAAAAATTGAAAACAAAACACAAACTCACTGTAGTAAGTGGTTTGGTGCAATTTATGGTTCAAATTTCATTTGCTAAATTTAAATTTTTTTTTCCAAGGCACGTGGATTCACAAAAGTTCACCCTTAATCTGTATTACTTTACAATGCCATAATTTGGAATTACCATATATTTACTCATAATCAAAGAAAGAATTAAACTGAAGGTGAATATTCACAGGTATAGGCCAGAAAGGCAAAAAGGTACTCATAAAAGTGTTGCTACCTTATTTTTTAGAATACATGTAATTATCCCTTTAAAGGCTGATTGTCCATATGAATGTCCTTATACAACACACTAAGTGCATGTTTAAATTGCTGCAATTCAGTTTCTAAGTTGGAAATTCTCTCCAGAGTAGCAAATAATTCCTGTAGTTTCCCTTCAATTTGTTTACCATTATGCTCATATGACTGATACATAGCTTGTTCCAATGTGCCGCAAGACTTTTCAATCTTAAAGACAATAAATATTATCAGAAAATAATTAGATATGCAGTTTACAACAGTGCTTACTCATGTGAAGTGTTACAATGAAGTCAGTTAAGGCATATACATTACAAGTAACCTGTAGAAGCTGTGAGGGTAAAATTTTTATATTGATTTTTGTTGATTTGCAGCAAATAGTTACCAAACAATGAGAAATCTATAGGATTAGATATACCTCTCAGCTGGCTTCACATGCATAGTTCAAGGTTGCCTAACCGGTGCTTACTTTACCAGGATTTAGTTACAGCACCTAGACGGTCTGTGGTTACAGCTTCATGTTCCCAGTAATCGACATTGTAATTGTAATTGACATTACAATAGAAAATAAAAGACTGGCACTCCCATGCAATTAATAGCAAGTAAAATTCCTGGGATTGAAACATGGACTTTGAAGTCACTGGTGTAGGCAATGAATAACTTCAAGTTGGCATAATAACAAGGTAGTTTATTTAATCAGTGCTGAACTAGAGGCTGAAATTATAATTATGTTTGTTGTCATATAATTTGTTTATTTCAAGTCAAATAGAATACACTGGTGAAAGGATGTTTTGGGGGTGTAATGTATATGGAGGGGTAGGGATAGGTGTCATATATTTTGTTCATTTCCAACTCTCATGAAGTCTCATAGAATTTCACTTAATTTATTTTCGCTGAAAAGCATTACGTGTGGAACTAATTTTCACTGTGCTGTGTCAAGTCTCAATAGAGTATGAGGGAAATGGCATTTTCATTGGAATTTATTTTAGCGGAAAATTTTTCTCAGTGAAAATGAAGTATTCCACATTAGTACATATGTACTGCAGTTTATTTTGATTCGTCCCTGAAATCAAAATCAGTATTTTCCACACCCCATATGCAAATCCAGCTACCGGCTTGTTTCCATTGGCAACAGAAATATTTTTATTTTCGTCTGCTATTTTCATCCAGTTCTAATCGTTCAAAGCGACATTTTTAGCACATTAGGTGTACCTCACATGGAATACTACGATTGAGAGAAATTGATGTATGTTGACCACCTGGAAACTGAGTTTTATAAACCCTGAAGGGC